CAATCACAGTTAAGCATGACAAATCAACAACCAATCACCTTTAAGCATGATCAACTAATAGCGAATCAGAAGCAAGCACGTAGAATAATCTCCACCAATGAGAAGCCGAGAGAGTAAATAACGATGATCTCGGACAAGTAGTTAGGAGAAGGTAGGTGACCGGGCTAGAAGCAAGGTGTGCTCAACTTAGGCTCCAACCAAGGTAGTGTCCGCTCCATCACGTGAAAGGCAAAGTACCTTCCTCCAGTCTCATCACTCTCCCTTTCACAAAGTCTATTTTCTATCCCATCCAGGTGTGCTCGTTATTCCCCTGTGGAAACCCACCATTCGACCAAGACTGCGCCATCAATCACCAATCCGACATAGGATTCACACCACAATTCACCAGAAGCAACAGGATCCCACAGTAAGTCGACAGGATCAACCCGAATATTACAGAGAGTCGACAGGATCCAATCGAATTATTATATATATATATAAAAAGCCAGTGAATGTATGTATGTATGTATGTATGTATATATTGGGAGTACAAATAAGTTTTGAGCGATTTGCAAAAGAAGCCACAACAAATATTATATAAATAGCATCGGACCTTGTGTAAGGTTTCATGTTAAGGCTTCATCATTTCCCCAAAAAAATCAGAAGAAGTCTTTTCACTCAAGTGTAAGGAACTTTTTTTTTGGTGCTCTAACCATGTCAACCTTTTTGCCAACAAAACACAATTTGCGGGAAGCGCTGCTTTTTTGTTTTAATTTGAAGAAAAGTGCAACTGATGGACATCGATTGCTGTGTGAGGCATATGGTAAACATGCTCTATCAATAAAATCACGTTAGTACTGGTTTCGGCGTTTCAAAAGTGGCGATTTTGACATCAGAGACAAAGAACGCGGAGGGAGGCCAATAAAGTTCGAAGACGCTGAGTTGGAGGCTTTATTGGACGAAGATTCAAGCCAAACTCAAGAGGAGCTCGCTGAAACCTTTGGAGTGGCTCAACAAGCGATTTCGAACCGTCTCAAGGTCATGGGTATGGTGCAAAAACAAGGAAATTGGGTTCCATATGAACTCAAGCCAGGAAACATCGAGCGCCGTATTTGCACGTGCAAACTACTGCTCAAAAGACAAAATCGGAAGGGTTTTTTGCATCGAATCGTGATGGGGGACGAAAAGTGGATTCACTACGACAACCCAAAGCGCAGAAAATCGTGGGTTAAGCCCGGTCATGCATCAACTTCAACGGCCAAACCGAATATTCATGGCAAGAAGCTAATGCTGTGCATCTGGTGGGATCATCTCGGAGTGATCTACTATAAGCTACTTCAGCCTAACGAAACCATCACTGGAGAACGTTACCAACAACAATTGATGCGATTAAGTCGAGCATTGAAGATTAAACGCCCACTATATGCCAAAAGACATGACAAGGTGATCTATCAGCACGACAACGCTCGGCCACATGTTGCAAAAGTTGTCAAGGAGTTTTTGGAGGCGCTTCAATGGGATGTCCTACCCCACCCGCTGTATTCACCAGACATTGCTCCTTCAGATTACCACATGTTCTGTTCGATGACACATGGCCTGGCCGAGCAGCACTTCAATTCTTACAAAGAGGCGAAAAATTGGGTCAATGTTTGGATCGCCTCAAAAGACGAGGAATTTTTTCGACACGGAATCCGTATGTTGCCTGAAAGATCGGAAAAAGTCGTAGCTAAAGATGGACAATACTTTGAATGAAATATATTGTACTGATTTCTCTGAATAAAGCTTCGAATTTATAAAAAAAATCCCTCAAAACTTATTTGTACTCCTAATATGTCGGCTATACACATCCACAATACGTAAATAATCTGACTGAAATTTTAACAGTATATAGAGTTAAATTTGGAAAAAACTTATAGGGAAATTTTCAGGCTTCTATCTCGAATATACTTCACTCACAACCAGCACCTCACTTCGCCAAATCTGTCAACTATGTGAAGGACGTGTACAGTGACCCCAGCTGCGGGACGATGGATCCTGTGGGGCCCCCTCCACGGAGATTGGTGTGTGGGGAAGGTGGAGCAGGACAAGAGTGACATATGATGGCGTAGGGGCAAGAAATCATAAGGCACAATTTGGATTATAGATTATAAACACAAGGTAATAAGACCAAATCCAAATAAATAGTGTGTGCGTATTAACTTACGGAGGATTCCTGTTCAAAGAGGTATCCGCCATGACCCTGCTGAACAGCAGCGTAGTACTCCTTTTGTGCCTTGGTCTTCTCCTTTACACGGCCCACCACATGTTTGTCATTGATGTAAACCTCGAAGCCGCACACCGTGGCTCCAGCTTCTAGAGGGAAGACAAACTTGGCCTCACAGGTCTCATCTGCCGGGTTGAAGAACTCTTGAAATAAATTCACCTGCAGGATCACATAATGAGAGGTCATAGAACAGATTGGTTAAATGGCTAGAAACATTACAAACAATCATATACAGTAGAACATCCATGAGAGGACACTCGCGCTAGAGGACACCTCTCTACAAAAGACAGTTTTCATTCGCAAAATTGTCATTTTTACTATTTCACAACTCTCAGGTAAGAGGACATTCTCCCTAAAGGACACTTTGGCTCTGCTAGGTGTCCTTTACAGGGAGGTTTTACTGTATATCAGTTCGGATATGTTATGTTGGTCAAAAAGTGAATGAAGTCTATTTCAGCTAAGGTAGACTCCCTGAGTCCTAGTAAACCTCAGTAGAACAAGTTAAAATGACAGATCAGAAGGAATAATATAGATTTGATCCTCATATTGGTTTGGTGGAAGCTATTTGACCATAATCCATTCTAGAAATCCATCTCAGTTTGCAGAGATTTATGTAAACAAGATTCTGGCCCTATGTCTATTACCAACATGTTCCAAGTTGACATCCTACTCTGTGATCAATATGGAATCTATATACAGTTAAACCTGTCTATAGCGCCCCCTCTAAATAGCACCTCCCTCTCTATAGTGCTCGATTTTAAATACGTAGTATGATGCGATTTACATTTAAAGTGGGGGTCGGTGGAAGGCTGGTTAAACCGTTTGGTTTTCGACCACTACGACCCGGGTTCGATTCCCGCATTGGACACTTTTTCTGTTTAAAAAAATATATTAAAAAATGCTCCAATGCCCCCTATTCTTGCAAAAGTCCAACCCCACCAGCGAGTGCAAGTAATCAAACGGGGCTCTGGCACATTTGTAAGTGCAAAGTCGAACTGCTTTCACATGTGTAGACATGTGGTGCGCTTACAGTAAAAAAGCAGTCGCTAACTACCCACCATGATTATCATGGCCTGTACCACGTGAACCAGGGATAAGCAAAAAAAAAAAACATTTAAAGTGACCTGTCTATAGCACCCCCTCTCTATAACACCCTATTTTGGTGAGTTCCAAGAGGGGGCGCTATAGACAGGTTTAACTGTATTTGATCAATGATATAATCTCCGGGCTTGAATGAACAATAAGGTATATTATAACATTAGACCACAACTACTTAATATAACTGTCAATATAAACTACCTTTTCCGGTCCCTAGCCCTGATTAAAAAGAAGGAGGGGGAGCAGTAACAAGCTCACTAAAAAAGCTGGCCCGGCTGAGAGTACCCTGTAAGGGCTCCTAATCCAGGGATACAGGATGAGCAGCGTTTGTACTCCATGTTAGGAGCGGCTGCACACGGCGTCTTTTCCTCATGTCAGAGGCGGCCATTTCTTTTGGAGCTAAGTCGGCTTGCCACTGAGTAGTTCTCCCAGTCTTAATGACAAAGGCAGACGCATTCTACTTCACCCTGTCATGATGGTTGTCAAAAGACTGTCAATATATCTTCGTATGGAAAAATGGTTCAATTGAATGGGTTAATTGGGATTTTAAAAACAGCTCAATTGGTTGAATTGAGAAAGAGATAATGTATATTTTACAAAAAAGTTACTTAAAATGAAATAAGATTGAATCTCTCCAACTGGGTGTTGTAGTTATTGTGATATATCAATAAATACTCTGTAAAATGTACTCTGATATCTATCATCTCTCTCTCCTTCTCCTTGCTAATATCATATCACTATTCTTTACGACCTACAATTATTGTAAATAAATATGTATAGATAATTGTAAAGGCATACATGTATGACAGCGCAAGTGTCCCTAGGGGGACATAGTGCTTTAAATTGAAATAAATAAATAAAATCCACATTGATGCTCCTCAAGTTGGCCAACAATTGTGTGATTTGGAATGTGAAAAATATCTTATATATTGTTGTGCGCTTGGGGCTGCTTAATTGTACAAGAGACTACAGTTATGGAGTTATTTAAAGTCCTGTATATAGAGCTAGGATGGCCTGCATTCCTATTTCTTAAATAAGAGACACTTCTCTGAGAAGCGTCCAAAGTAATGGAATTCAATTGTGTCACTCACCCTTGCTGCCAGGTCCACCAGCTCAGCCCGGATGTGGAAACCTCGCAGGGGGATGGAAGCCCCGGTAGATGAGAACAGGCCCAGTCTGGCCGGCTTACTCTCAACTTCCTCTTTCTCCACTGGCTCTGCTGACACACAATGGTAACAATGGCCATCTAGCTAGCTCTGTGCAAGGAAGGTAAAGTACTCTAGAACCTCCCTGTAAAGGACACCTAATTACAGAGCCAGAGTATCCATTAAAGAGTGGTGTCCTCTTATCATAGAGTTACTAAATAGTAAAAATAGTAATTTTGATAATGAAAATTGTCCTTTGTAGAGAGGTGTCCTCTCATGGAGATTTTTTTTTTTTTTGCTTATCCCTAATACACGTGGTACAGGCCATGATAATCATGGTGGGTAGTTAGCGACTGCTTTTTACTGTAAGTGCACCACATGTCTACACATGTGAAAAGCACTTACAAATGTGCCAGAGCCCCGTTTGGTTACTTGCACTCGCTGGGGGGGGGGTTGTACTTTTGCAAGAATCAGGGGCCATTGGAGCATTTTTTTTTTTTTAAACAGAAAAAAAGTGTCTAATGCGGGAATCGAACCCGGGTCGTAGTGGTCAAAAACCAAACTGTTTAACCAGCCTTCCACCAACCCCCCATGGAGGCTCTACTGTATTTGTGTGGAAGGAAAGCTATTAAGGTATTCATCAGTTTCAGTTAAAAACCGGTATAAAGGCCACCCTCACCATTTGTATCAAAGTCAAATTTTCGAAGACCTAAATGACTCAGAATATGATGATTGGTATCTGATAAGTTTCTATTATAGGGTGAAGATTAAATCTATAAATTTTATGTTATTGGCCAATTCTGGAATAGAATGGTTGATATTTATTCTGATAGATGGCGCAAGCCATCAGCAACTTTCAGTTGCACGATAAGGAGATGCCTTTTTCTTAATTTATGCACCTTATCCCAGTACAATATCACATTTGTACTATTTTTCACATTGTGTCGCGGTCTCACGCAATTCTGGCCTTAACTACCCGTTTCATGATTTTTCAGGATGCCTTGATGACCAATTTTTTTGGTCGTTGAGGTACAGCTTGCACCATGCTGATGAGGGCCAACAGCCCGAAACGCGTCCGTGGTTAGCTTTTCTTGATTAATCAAGAATGGGTATTTGGCCAATTCTGGAATAATTAAAAATCAACGAGAATAGTTGATATTTATTTTGATAGATAGCGCAAGCCATCAGCAACTTTCAGTTGCACAATAAGGAGATGCCTTTTTCTTAATTATTTTATTATTGAATCAATAATCCCTTCACTAAACTTTAATAACGGACTACTCGATGAGGGAAGAGTATCTTTTAAAAGATACTCCTTCCTCATCGAGTAGTCCGTTATTATTTTATTATTCACAATTTTTTCACACATTATAAACAAAGTCTTCAATAATTGACATACCTTCGATTATCTCAAATCAAAACAGAGTAAAGTAATAATATGTCACTGAAATATTATCTTTAAACAAAACAGATCAGATCAGTAGCAACAACAAGAGCAGCAAAACCAGCTAGAAGTGAAGTGACCCAATCTCTGATAAGAGACCTACCTCCAGAAGAGAACCTTCCATTTTACTGAACTTGCAAAGTACAGAACATATTTGGGAATCAAATAGACCAAACATTAATAGTTTTATCATTTCACAATTCTACTTTATAATACAATATAATGCAGCTTATGATTGTAAAACAACATTTGAAAATTATCGTGCAATGCAAATTATCCTTAAACGAAAAATCAAAATTTAATTTTAAGGATAAATAACGATTATTTCTAACGTTAGAGATGAGGTATGAAAGGATGAATTGTGAAGAGTAATGATAAACGGAAAAATAAAAGTGTCCAGAGATGGGAATCGAACCCACAGTGTTCCGCTTACCGGGCAGATGCCATGTCCACTAGGCTACCCTGAACATATTTTTCTGTTTGTAAATATTATATGAGGTAATTTATAATCATTATTATATAATATACACTATTAATGTTAGGTCTCTTTGATTCCCAAATGTGTTCTGAACTTTGTAAGTTCAGTAAAATGGAAGGTTCTCTTCTGGAAGGAGGCCTCTTATCAGAGATTGGGTTAGTTCACTTCCAGCTGGTTTTGCAGCTCTTGTTGTTGCTACTGATCTGATCTGTTTTGTTTAAAGACAATTCTACTTTGTCTGAAACAAACCATTTACCCTGCAAGGTCTTGATGGGCCAGGGTTTGACTGGAAGTGGGGATGGCCAGGAAGCAACGACATCTCCAGGACGACTGACCTCCAGCAAGTAGCACAGCATCACCCTGGTTGGATCACTGACAGCATAGCTCCCCTGTAACACACCAATATATGTGTGAAAAGTTATTTAAAAACCCATTTTTTGATTTCTCAAGAAGCTTCTGGGACCAAAAGATTTTTAGTCATAGAGGTACAACCTGCACCATGCTGACGAGGGCCAAGAGCCTGAAACACGTTCATGGTTGGCTTTTCTTGATTGATCAAGAAAATGGGTTGGCCAAATTTCAAGGAACAGGTTAAATCAATGTTTAGTTTATTTCTGTTCCACTATATGGATCTTTGCCATATAAAAAACACTCATATTAGTGGTTAGAGAATAGGCTTAATTTGTTTTTAACACCAATATCTATATATATAAAAATGATGCTTGTATGTTGGTTTGTATGTTCGGTATACAAATTTGCAGTAGTTCACTAATTCAACCCAAAATTTGCATACATAAGTAAAAAATAACGGGGAAGACTATAGGCTATTTTAAAAAATATATAAATCAATTATTAAAACTATATATTCAAATTATTCTACTTAGCTCACGAACAGCGCCCTCTATAAGTACTAAAAAGTTATAAATACGTTTAAAATCTAAATCTTCTCAATATTTTATTAATAATAGTTTGCTTAATAACACATATAATATAAATATTTATATAATAACTGCTCTAATTTGAAATATTTGGTAGGTTTTATTTATTTATATATTTTCATTTTTAGATATAACTGATCTAATTCGCTGTTTAAAATAACTAATAATAGTTCGCTTAATAACACATATAATATAAATATTTATATAATAACTGCTCTAATTTGAAATATTTGGTAGGTTTTATTTATTTATATATTTTTCATTTTTAGATATAACTGATCTAATTCGCCGTTTAAAATAACTGCTCTTGAAATATTTGGTATGTTTTATTTATTTATATATTTTCATTTTTAGATATAACTGATCTAATTCGCCGTTTAAAATAACTGCTCTAATTCGAAATATTTGGTATGTTTTATTTGTGTTCACTCTATTTCTATTTATTTGAAGTATTATAATTTCCATGGTTCAAAAACGTATTTCAAAAAGGTCGTTAGAAATATGTAAGGCCTGAAATAGCTTTATGTGCGAATATTTATGATGCCAAGCGTAGCTTAATGGTTAGGTGTGCGGCTTCGTATTTCCACAACCTTGGTTCGAAACTTAGCCTGGGTGTTTTTTTTTTTATATTATTGAAGCAAAGTTTTTTTTTTACAGTACCAAAATTTACATACATAGGTAAAAAAAATACGAGGAAAACGATAGGCTATTTTAAATTATATATAAATTAAATATTAAAACTATATATTCAAATTATTCTACTTAGCTCACGAACAGCGCCCTCTATCAAAGTTATAAATATGTTTAAAATCAAAATCTTCTCAATATTTGATTGATAATAGTTCGCTTAATAATTAGAATACTTGATTGATGCACAATTTGAATTGTAGATTATAAACACAAGGTAATAAGACCAAATCCAAATAAATAAATAGTGCGTGACGTTTCGGTAACAGCGTTGTTACCATCTTCAGAAATATTTATAGACGCTCGCTCGATTTGAAGATTTGTAATCTTCTAATCTGACTATAATTTCTAATCTGACTGTAAAGTTTGGAGCGGGACGTTTGGTTCAAATTCACATAAATAGGTACCGCTCAGCAAGAGCAACCTAGTTCATGATAATTGAACATTGAATAATATGTGAAGGTTATTCACATATTAAACAAATTTTAATGCGGGATTCAATCCCGGTTCATGACTGTCGGGAATCGAGGGGGTTACCCACTCGTCCACCGACTTTTTGTTGATTAGCGGGACGTTTCACAAGAGTGACATCCACGGCGCCAATTTATAATTGTAACGAATAGTGTTTGAATAAAACATTTAATCGGGTAAACCCGGGCGTTGCCCGGGTCATTCGTCTAGTATATATATATATATATATATATATACTTTCTTACTTTTGAGATAAAAATGTGCATAGAAGTGAGTACCTATGCACCTTACCCTGAATATACTTTTATGTGTGGATATATAAGGGAGTCATCATAAGGCTCATTGAGTTAAAGCCTGCATCATACTGATGAGAGCCAACAGTCCAACATTGGTGTTTGGCTTTACTTGATTTAACAAGAAAAGTTATTCAGACAATATTCTGGATTGAAAAGATATCAATGCTTAATAAATTCCAAATTTTAATATTGTAGTAAAGTATTAACAGAGTATAAATTTTGATAAGGCACAATTTGGATTATAGATTATAAACACAAGGTAATAAGACCAAATAAATAAATCAATAATGTGTGACATTTCGGTAACAGCCTTGTTACCATCTTCAGACAAAAGTATTGAATGAGAAATTTTACCACAGCATGTTTTAAATAGTTACTGTTATCAAGTGTGTAAACAAGATAGCAGATAAGAAGAAGATAGTTTTCTGAGAAACACAGAATATTATTCTTAGAATTAAAAGTGGAAAAAACCCACTTTTTTTTAGATATAATTAAAAGCATATCTATAAATATAATTTATATTTCCTCTTTCTTCCATTCTGTTAATTGTAGCAGATTTCTTTTGAATGAAAAAGGCTTCTTTAAATTGTCTCTTAAAGTAATTTTTCTCATAATCTAGTATCTTTGCTTCTTTTATTTATTTGGATTTGGTCTTATTACCTTGAGAGTATCAATTTTGATATTTATAGTTGTTACTCTGTAAACTTACCTCTTTGTTTATCTTGTATTTTATCAGTTTTGTTCTTGTCTTAAATAAATTGCTGTGTCATCCTGGAGTTTGTCTTTCAGAAATTTTCCACGTGGCAATATCATCATTGTACAATGCCAAAGTACCGGATAAAACTCTCACTGAGAGAATACCTCCAGTTGGAACTGTGACCACGTATCCCAAGATCACAGTCAAGTCACACCAAAAGAGACTGGCTGAGAGAAGACAAACCTATCACTGTTCTTAGTTGAAATTCAGATCGATGTCAAAGAAAAGTCAGAAACACCACAAGTTAGTGATAAGTGACAAATCCCAATGACTGCACTACCAGCCCGAGCCAGGTACTGGCCAACACACAGTAGAGAGGTATCTCAACCCTAGTTGGTTCATCTAGCATTGAGCCACACTCTTGGAAGTGGTAAGTCTTTGATGTCGCTGGCCCTCTATTTTTTTAAATAGACAGAGGCAATTTTGTTCATACTTGGTTATCTCCTGTGTCTTCAATAAAGGTCACTGTAATATCTTTCAGAGTTATCGTCTGAATCCCAATATACATGTTAAAAGG